GGTAATCCAGAATTAGTAACCTAACATGAAGATGACCTCATTCTGATCTAGTTAATAATTAGGTAATGCTAAAACTGAATAGCACAAAATGCAGCAGCCAACAACAGACCTCAGCATCAGGAAGTGGAGCTTCATTTGGAAATGAAATAAACCCTTGAGGTTCTTGAGTATTTTATTATTTTTCACATGGAAAACACATTTTTACATCCTGTCCGTTAGTAAGAAAGGAAAAAAAAAGGCTTTCAGCGAGTTGATGACAGTGATTATTTAAACATTTGGATTTCTTTAGACTGCTGTTGGAAATTAATATTATTCACTGTTTTTGTGAAAAAATTAAACATAATTTTGTTCATTTTTGCAAAATAATAATACTTACAATAGCAATGTTAAAGTTCATGCATGCCTTGGTATGAGGGCTCTTTCTGGGTGGAGGGGGTGAATGTGGAGGGTTCACAGTTGTTGGGTTTTTTTTCTCTTCCCACAGTTTTGGACAACCTCCAGGTGTGAACAAATATAAGCTGTAAACTCACCAAATATCTACGAGATACCCCTTACTCCAAGTACTCCATAGCTCTAATTTTACCTGAGCACATTCGTAACCACAAGATGATTATCGTTAGCATCACGAGTGGGTAAAATAGTATCAGCTTCATATGCACACCTTCAGGTCATGTGAGTAAGAAGTTTTGGTTCAGAAATTTGATCTCATGCAGAAATAAACAATGGCTGAGGCATACGATCTTGGCAGCGAGTTAGATAATCCTACATGACAAAAAAGAACAGCTCACTAAAGCCACTAATTGAGGGACTTTTTTGTAAAGGAGACAAAATTCCTTCGTCTGATGCAAGTGGAAATGACTCTTACAAGCTTTTCTCTGGGTCAGGTGAGCACATATTTCAGTTTCACCCTCACACAGTGAACCAATGAAGGAAGATGTGTGCACAAACACATTGATTGCAGGAGACAGATTATCAATGACATCAGCATTTCAGCCACTGTGCCTGCTGCCTTAGGGAATTTTTATTTATTCAATAGTAAGTTTGCATTTCCATACAAATACAGAGAAAATAACTGAATTAATTGGATTGACTCACACTTTGTCTGTGAAGGACTGAACAGTTAATCCTCTCAGGAGGGAAGCAGCAGTGGAGAAACGTGGGACCGAGATGCTGTTTTGACCCTGTTGCAGGGTTTATGTGGAGTTCACCACCAACAATTATTTTAAACATTTCACCGGTGCTGATGGCATCATGGTGACATCCCAAACCCCTCTGTGCTTTTTAAATGTGTCATCTGTGCTGCCGGAGAAAACCCCTGTTCCTCCTAAATGTCATTCTTTCAGAATTTGTATAAAACACGTCAGTCAGAGTTTTGAAAAGTTCCCCAGTGTAGTTCAGTAAAGAAGGACTCTCCCTAACCTACGGTTGGGGAGAGCCTTGTAAACATCTGAACCCTTTCATGACAATAGGGAGTGTTGGGCTTTCTGAATGACAAATGAAAATAAAGCCATGTGACAAAATAATTCAGGCCGGGCTTCAAACAGACTGTGACCTTCCAGAAATGAGCTGCGTACCAGGGTTGTGGGACAAACATAGCTTCCTGCCCCACCCACCTGCCCTCCCTTCACTCACTGCCTCAGACCCCCAGTCAGATATTTTCCCTCCAGTTTTACATGTCAGGGCAGATTCAAAACACTCTGCCCCAAGCAAAGGCAGAGACTGCCTACCACTCCCATAATCTAGTCTAGTCCTTCCGACTCTTAGCAGCATTGACAGCTTTTTTCTGCCTCCATCCATGGCCTAGGGCTGTTGTGATTTCAAGCAATGCATCTGCAAAACATGTTTGCAGTAAGAGAACACTCGAGGTACAAGTGTTTGTATCTGGAGGGGGAAAGTTCAAGGCCAACATGGCCTTAGTTTTTCCACCAATGGTGTGTATTATAACATATAAGTAGGAGCGATATGCAGCAAAAAAGATGCAACAAATGTGAAATATCTCAGAATCTCCCAAAACACCATGAACCAGAGCTTCTTGAAAACTGCTCTTCGTTAAGTCAAGTCAAGGAAGGTGCGCTGTGGAAACACCTGAGAAACATCACATCATGTCTCACTTCATTGAGAGGTCTGGCAATTGAAACTTTTGTTATCTTTCAAAAGACCAAGACCAAATCTCTGTCCCAAAGATTTAAATCAAGATTTAAATCAAAAAAGCAAATGGAATTTCTAAATGAAACTAGTGCAGCCAACTATTGAGAGATTTTATTTAATTCTTTGAAAATTCTCTAACAATGTTTTTGAAGCTCGTCAATAACTTATTATTATAGTATCTAATAGATACCCTAGCAGGGTGTTTTAAATATTAAGCTATAAAAAAGTTACTTTTTATTTGCATTATCTTTGACGAGCATTTTAATGTTGAATATTATGTCTTTGGTCCGTGACACCAATAAGACCATAAAATGACCAAAATCTGACCTGAAGCTGGAAGTAAAGGTTCGTCTCCCACAAGCTTTCAGTTACATGTCCTCTGGCACTGTACATTCCTGTCAAAGGCCTTTCTTGAGACTACAGACATTGTCATGTTAAAAGTATGAATATATCTCTGCTGATGCTGCACTGGACAAAGGACATCCCAGCATACTGCAGTTTCAAGATAACGTACCACAGCTTTTAATACTAAAAAACAAACATGTGATTTCTCTTTTCTCATAACTGGTGAGAATACACAACCGTGTAGACTGGGTATGGTCCTTACAAATGTTACTGCTAATCTGACTTGTGCCCATTGTCTAAACTGACTGCAGCAGCAGGAGAATGAGCCGTGTGTGTTAATGGACACACATACTTTCAGGAGGACCAACCACAGTTGCTGCAGTCATCACTGTGACATGCTGTGATGAAATAGTTCAGTCGCCGCTCCGATTGAAAGAGCGATGGTGGTCTAAGCACTCAAACAATGTCACTGCTCTTTTGTGTTTCCCACTTGAGCCACAATGGCTGTTTAAGGCCCATCCTTGACAATGAATATGACTCATCGGAGAGGAAAAATCATAAAGGCTAACCCACTGCAGGAAATGTAAAGGGATCAGAAAACTGTCTTCAGCAGGTTTAGCCCTGATAGAAAATAAAGCTATATATACCTGCTGAAGGGGGGGGGGGGGGTTTATCTCAGTGTGTACTGCCCGTAAGTGTATATCCAACCAGAGGATTGAAAGTGGTCTTAACAAGCCAAAATGCCTTACCAGGACCTAGACTGCCTTCTAAAAAGCTACCCTCTGTCATTGCTAATGACTTCTCCAAACACTGTGCACTGATACATTTTCTTTAACTGCCCACACCGTCTGCAGCTTACCACTCTAAAGTCACGGTGAAAAGTCTTCAAAACTTCTGAGTCGAAAAGTGCCTTTGAAAGCATCCCCCCTCCCCCCTTTGATGTGAGGAATGCCACGGATCAGGCTGGAAACTGGCTTCAGCTGCTTTCTACACCACTGCCTGCTGTCGTTATGTGGAGAATAAAGACTTAGCATTGAATCAAATGTGACCAAATAAATAAATAAATAAGTGAAATGAGACATGCAGTCCATCCTCCCCCGGAGTCACTGATCCATAGACGGAGCGGACAGCAAATGATGATGGTTGGAACCCTGGCGTTTCAGCCACCCGCACACCCACCCCCTCCCTCTTACCCCACACACATACAGATACTGCCACCAGTGAGACATGCTGCCTGTCCTGCAGTCCCTCTGACAAACACCAGCTTCCCTTAACTCTGAGAGGTGGCTGGTGACGCAGACACAACAGAGATAAGAGCCCGCAGGGAGAAAAAAAAAAAAAAAAGCTTTGGTCTGACTTGTTCCATCTATAAATGACACCAGACAATGTTGGCGTTGGCCGAGCTGCTGATAGTTAGGAGAGGGTCGGGACTCCTTTGTGGCACAGACCTGTAGGGAAGGACATCCACTTGCACCTCAGACCTCAAACTCCCTTACACAGATTTGCTTTCAGCATAATGAATATTCCCCTACTCCACAAAAGCCCCAGCTCTCTGGAGATGCTGCACCTAGAGACGCAGGGACAAAGAGTGACCGTTTCTTTGTCAAACACATGCAAAGACATTTAGATATCAAGAGAAAGCAAAACAGATGACTGTGACTGAATTGAGAGAGAAGTCACTGGCTGTGTATGACTGTTACACACACGCAGTGAGAGAAGGGCAGAGACAGAGGGCGAGAGACAGACCGAACGAGAGAGACGCTTATTTAAACATACACAAACAGAGGCTTGGATTACATCTGAATTTAAACAACTACATCCCTAATTACAAACAAAGGATCTGATGGTAGTGACTGCTCTTTTACCCTCTGGGGCGGCAGGAACAGAGAGATGGGTGGTGTTGATGCTGATGGTGGTATTTGTTTAGGCTTAATAAAAAGGTATTGCCTTGAAGGCAACACCCTGTGTTCATTCACTGAGAGATATCAACGTTTTAGGGCGACTCAGTTCCTCACTATATGAATACATATGTCTTACATCTAAATTATTTTATATAAGAAAAATCACGGGCTGTTGTCTATTATAAAGAACAGGTGACTACAGCGTCTCTAGACGGACTCGCATAAACGCTCCATGTTCATTTATCTAGGCTGTGTGGAATCGGTAAAGTCGACCGAGTCTATTTATTTTTTATTTTTTATTCATTTCCCATACTTGCTTTATATACAAAAAAATACAAAAGCGGAATTAATTTGAGTTTTTTTTTTTTTAGCTTTAGGGCGACACTACTTTATCAAGCGTTGGAAAACAGACGCGACTGCGCTCATTTATCATTCTTACACTGTCATAAAGTGACACGGGGAAGTTCAGGTGTGAGACGCGTCACCCTGCAGGTATGCAAACGCAGGTTTAGTCACAAAAAGACAAAGAATGAAGTCTGTCACGGCTGTCAAGGAAACGTTAAACAGTAACCAGAGTTCCTGATGAAATGCGGAACGAGCGCTTACCTTGAACGAGCGTCCCGGCGCTCATGAGAGCCAGCAACAGGAAAAGAGCCGGAGTCATCCTAGTAAAGTAGCTCGGAGGGTCTAAGGAGCGTCTACGGAGGAGCAGTGGAGCCGCCGTCAATGAGTTGTAAGGGGGATAACGGCCAGTGGAGGCGTCGCCAAGGTTGGGGAGGCAGCAGTGGGAAGTCCGAAACGTGTCTGAAGAGTCCCTATCTGGGAGTGTGTTGAGTCGAGTCCGCCTCAGAGAGAGTGTGTGAGAGAAAGGGAGGGAGCGCAGGTGACACACAGCGAAGGAAGGAGGAGAAAGAGGAGGAGGAGGTTGCGGGGGAGGTTGGGTTGGAACAGGAGGAGGCTCCAAGGGGCTTTTTCGATTATATGTGGCCCTAAGGTGCTGTCGAAAATGTGTCCATTCATTCTTCCACATGACGGTCCGCACAGAGTGCAGAGAAACCGAAACCGAAAGTGCGTGTTTGTTACGATTGGTGGCAAAGCAACATCTCGTCACCGGGGAAGTTGAAATGGAATTTCCACTAATATTTTTGCCAATTGTGGTATTGTCAATAATATTTTTAATGAGTCAGGTGCCCTAATGTTGCTTCAATGAAGCTAATCTGGTGGCGTGTACAGATGTAGACAGATGTGTGTTTTGGTCCTCTTCTCTTAATAAATATAGTTACAACAGTGAAAAGTATTGTTCGGATTAAAATAAAAAAAAATAAAAACAAGTTCTAAGACAGATGTTTTACTTTCCCAGTGTGTCTTTTGTTAATGACTAAAACACTCTCAGATCTTCTCTTTCGTTATGTCAAGTGTTGAGGCGTGTTAGGTTTGTTTATTTTTATCTCAGAAATGAATCGTTTTAGAATCAGAAAAAACGGGTTATGATCGAAATCTCCATCCTATTGTTCTTTTCCTGAAACTGAAAGATAGTTTTAAAGGACCTGGATTTCAGTCAAAATACTCCTTATTACATCAAGTTATAATTATGCATAACAGCATTAGGCTGTAGGCACTGAACATTATAATAATAATATGTAAAACTATACTCGTTATAAGACCACAGCAACATCCCCAGAGAAATTATAAATGAATAGATGTGCTTCTTAGACATAAATATAAGCTGTATTTTTACTGTTTGTTAGTGATGTATTTCCATCCCTGTGTCTGTTTTGTACGTTCTACGACCAGTAATATCTCACTGTCACCTATGAAGACGTGTTTATCTTAATATGCTTAAGAACTTGGCCACCCACCCCATTACACTCACAACTATCTAACTTTAATGTGCACTGACTCCACCACTATCAGATCATTTTTTGTTAATTAGGGATGTGGTTGACAACACTTCGATATAATGACTTAATTTTCAAAGCACTTTGAAAAACACATTTTTAATAGAGCTTTGATGCAAATTGCAAAAGCAAGACACTCAGTCACATTAAAAATGACAAAGTCACGAAAATCAAAACAAGGCATGTCAATGTAATAACAGCGAAAGCGAAATAAAAGCAAGGTGACAGAGCCTCGGAAAAAAAACAAGTCAAAAGAAAATGAAAGCTAAAAATAAATGCCTGAATAAAAGTGTTACAAGGAGCAAAAGAAAATATTACAGCAGGCAAGATGGGAAAATGTGTTTAAGGAATTCAGTTGATGAAGTTATGCGTGTTAAAGAGCACAGGCAGAAAGATAGGAGCTACAGTGGATATGCTGTTAAACACTTAAACTGTTTGATAAATTAAAAAAAATCTTCTTAAACTTAAAAATAAACTATTTGATTACATATCATTATCTTTACAACTTGTTTGTACCAACAGCATTCTGATTGTAGCAGTTTGAGCGTTTTTGTCTGGTTTTTCCCCTCGCTTTTTCTGTTGACTGTTGCTATGGTTTCCCTTCCTCACTTCTGCCGGGCGTTGAGGTGAGCCGGTATAAAGCGGTAGTCCGCCCACCGGGTCTTCCTCTGCCCTCCCATCGTCACCCGTGCTACTTCCGGGTCACAGGTCGTGAGTCCGACAGGTATGGCCGCCCGCTGCTTCACATCGCTCGTCGTTTTGTTTGTTCTTATACTTAAGGTATTTGTAATTGTTGTTGTAGGACGACAGTTTGTGTGCTGCTCCGTGTGTGCTGCTGTGGTCGTTGGCCGGTGGTAAGTGTTGTTTCTCTCGGCGTTGTGCTTGGTGCTGCTAGGTGGCTAATGCTGGTCTGGTCACAGGTGAATGCTGGCGGCTGGAGTCCAATCCTTCCTCCTCGTGAGTGTGTGTGTTCTGAGAAGGTATGCACATTGTTACGTGCCACTGCATCAATCTTAGTGCATCTAGCACATGCTTAAAGTGTTTTCCTTTGACTAGGTGTTGTAACCACCTCATTGGACCGCTGCTGCTTTGTTTGGTGTTATTTTGTGCTGCTTTGGTGTTGTTTTGTGCTGTTTTCACTGTATTGCCTACGGCATTGTTCTGCGGCTTCACGACTTCCAAGATACACACTGTGCATTATTATTATTGTTAGGCCGTACACCGCGGTCCTATGCATAACCTTTTTTTTTTTCCTGGTGGGGGTGTCCTCCCGTCGTATCTTGCTGTGTCCCTGGGAGTGGGTTTCTTCACTGAGGGTGTGTTTGCCACATGTGCCTGGTGATTTAAGTTATTTTGGTGGATCCAGCCCCTGCACTAGCCCTTGCCCTTCCACTCCAGCCTCAGCCCTGATTAGGTTTTTATTTTATTTTATGTGAATGTGTTTTATGGAGTATAGTTTTTTAAAAACAAATGTTGAATAAAATTTGTATTTTCAAACTTTGAACCACGTCTCTTGCCCTCCAGTAACCACGCACCTTTGTGCCTTGTGTTTGAGCAATTCCCTGGGTGAAATTCCCAGGGTGGCGTTGTCGAGCCTATTATTTTTCCTCCTTAATAATAGTCATGTAACTTTTCACCAATGGCTCCACCCATGGATCTGATTTTGTGAGCTGACAGGCATGGGGCCAGGGAGCCACAGCTAAAATTAGTGATGATTCAATGGTAAACTCATCTTGGTTCAGGGTCCACATTCAGCCTGATTAGATGTCAGTGGGCTGGACCAGCAAAATCATTACATAATAACCTATAAATAACAATAAGTCTGTTTTCCTCCTTTGTTTTCATGCAACTATGTACAAGCTTATTTGAAGATGTGAAATATAATTTGACAAACATCACGGACATGAAGAGTGTGCATTTTTTCCCCTTTCAAAATTCATCAAGCAGGCCAGATTGGACCGGTTTTGTGTGTTTGACACCCCTGGTATAACCAAACAGTAAATTACCAATAGGGAGCCACAGTGAAACATTGTGATGCTGTGTTTCATGCTTAAACAAAAGTAGGAAGGACAATGCTCACACATTAGACTGCAGAGAGCCTATCAGCCAGTCCACCTCACTGTGGGAACTAAGCAGAGGCTTTTCTGCTGACTGACAGAGGAATCTGACGGAGCTGATGCATAATGGAGACTGTGGATGTGCCCAGTCACCTCAACTTAACGCCACTGCCTCCTCCTGCCAGTCAGACTTAATCTCTGAACTTCAGTGTAATGAGAGGCTACAAAACAACCCTCACTACACCGGTCAGTTCATTCACTTAAACATTCAGCACACATTTTGGATACGGGAAATCCACGCACTTTCCATGCATAGCACAATGTGTTAGGATTATTACTTTTTAAACTGACTGGGGGATTTATTTTTTCTGAAATCAAATGTTAATTGAAAAACTGGAAAAAAAAGTACAAGAAACAAACTAGGTGAATACTATCTTGATAAATAAAGAAATATGAGAATTCTGTATATAATTTCATCTTTATACTTTATCTAAATACAGCTGTACACACAGCACACTTTCACAGGCAACAAAGACTCAAACCTTGTGTTTTTAACCACAAGCCATTAGACTGAACTCCAGCTTCACATAAATCTACAGACCTACCAACAGGACCACCTGGACTGTTAAAATCCATAAACACACACAGCCATTGCAGATAGCTGCTACTGCTGAAAAAAAGCATTTACGTTTACTAGTGCACTTGTTGTGCAGTTTAACAATCCCAGAGGAACACGAACACTTGGAATCCTCCTGACCTGCACCTCCTACCACTGTAACCATCGCTTATGGAGTGAGTCATGATAAATATTTAAAGAAAAGGTATGCAACACTGGTGGAACACTGTTGGCCCACTGTTTTCCCCCCCTTTCCTCCCATGTACCACCGATGTGAAATAAATCCTCCACTGTTATGTGTAGATCTATTGTACTCCTCCAACAGGAATGTGACACCGACCTTTGTTAACTAACTCTGTGTGTCTTGACTGAATTTGAAGTTTCATTCCCTAAAATAGTGTCTCTAATGTAAACACAACAGTCAGTATTCTCCAATGCTTTGTGAGGCTAAGGTAAGCTAACCCTCAATAGCACTGACCTTTCACAAAAAAATGAACAAAAAAGAGAATCCAAAATCCCTGCTTAGAATACAGCACTGTATATTCGACTTGGAAATGAATAGAACTGACAGATTCATGTTCAGCATTTCTTTGTTTTTTTTATTGTTTTGTTTTTTTTTATTGTTTTTTTGGTAAATCTTACATACTTTAGTTCAGGTCTGGTTCTCATTCATTTTTCCAGGGCGCTTACAGGTGCTTGAAGTGAAGTGTTTACATTTCAATCTTGTGTGCATGGTTTGCATAATGCTGGAATTTTGTTGCGGTGCTTGAAGGTAATTGAAAGTTCTCGAAATGTGCTTCAGGACTGTATTTTTGTCATTTGTGGGAAAATAGATGGTTACACCAATTTGTTGTGTTTTTGGATGCAGAATTATACTAGTAATACTACTGGTACTGTATTTGTAATTGTATTTGTAATAATAACAATAATAATAATTTGAACTTTATTGATCCCACACATTTCCCTCGTCTTGTTGATTGACTACATAGTTTTTTTTTACATAAAAAAAATGATAGATTAATTTTAATTATTTAAAGTTTGAAGTCACCCAGGAGAACTCTAAATGGAGGTCTGACAATATTATGTTAAGCACTGCCTTTAAAGTGTTCCTATCAAAAAGAGCAAAAACAAACAGTTGCACATTTGTTATTCTTACCAAGACACCTTGTTTTATTTTAATTTCCCCTTTTACAGTCCTTGGTTAAATAAATACTGTTGTTGTTTTAAAGTTTTATAGTCACAGCTTTGGCACAGGCTTTACTGCCTTTATACCATATTTATTTTAACCGAACTGAATCTGACTTGATATTCAAGACTTCCAACTTTACAGCACGGCCATTAAGTCATCATTGATGAGTCCCTCTATGCTACTTTCTTTTAATTATCTCGTAAAATTAGTAAATGTGCAGCGAAAATTGTTAAACTCACAGCCATGCAGTAAACATAAGTTGTTTTTCCATCTGATATTCCAGTCAGTCTGTCTCACAGAATGTTTTATTATTAATTTTACTATTTTTAATTTCTCAGAGTTGTTCTAGCTTCTTTCTGACCGGCTGTACGTTACGGTAAGGGATTCTCTGAGTCAATTAGAACTTAAAATGGTGGCTAATGTTAATTTTCTGACACAGAGAGGAACATGAGTAATGCAAAGACTGCACAAAAAATAAATACTGCTAAATCAAGCTACAATTCTCTAGCTTTGTTAAGCTAACCTGTACTTCTCTGGCCTTTATGATGCCTCTATATTACACACACATTTGTGATATGATGCATCAAGACATGCAATTCCAATGTGGATTTTGGCAGAAAAAGAAGGCATAGGATTTATAAACCTGTGCAAATTCACAGAGGAAGAATGGAGAGAACAATCGTGAAACACAAGCCATCAGCTTAGAGAAAGAATATTTGAAACATAGCACACGATATGATCTTCAAGCCTGCTGGAGATGACATTTACTTATTTGCTTCTCTTCTACCTCTTAATCACGTTCAGAGCCGCACGGGAGCTGGAGCTGATCCCAGCAGTCAATGTGTGAGGACGAGGACGAGGACGAGGACACCTCAGACAGATCACCTGTCCATCACGGAGTCAAATATGAAGCTGAACAACCAATCACACTTGCAGGCATGCCTGGGGTCAATTATTAACCTAATCCTACGTGCGAAGAAAGTGGATTCAAAAGAAAGCCCACAGGCAGGGAGAACATGCACACTCCATTTAAAAGGTAGGAATCGAACCAGTGACCCTTTTTTTCGTGGCGCAAAAGCACAAACCACACACTTAACATCAGAATTACCACATGGAAATACCCTGTTATTAACTAATAAATAGTTGCTTGAATATTATATATATGTGGCTAAAACAACTAAGAAGTTAAGTTAATTGTGCGATAGAAAAAACAGTTCTAGAGCAGAAATATCTGCTTTGTTAGAACACGATTTTACCTCATAGTGTATATGGCTTTAAACAAATGCCTCAAAGCCATTGAAAAGTTGTGAATATTTACTGGCAACATATGCATAATCTCTATACAGGCTGATAAACACACCAACTATTACATTTATTTTGTTTTGTATACAATATTATATGCCCACACCCTGAAGTCTTTTGAAATGACTTCAAAAAAGTATACCAATAAGAAAGCTTTGTGGAATTTAAATGAAGGTAATAAAAAATTCAAAAGAAAACACGACGCCACCTCCAGGTGGATATATCTAAAGAGGTCATACCCACCTAGATAAGAGGTACTGTAATGACCAGCTTTATCTGGCCTGGCCATTTGCTTTATTGACTGACTGATGCCGACTGACTTGTTTTTATTACTGTGTCATGCTACGAGTGAATGTGAAAGCTGAGCCAGAAACAGTAAAACACTTCATGCAACAAATAAACAATTTCTGACTTTCTCTCCCAAGAGTTGAGAAACAGCAATTCAGTTCTGTCATCATCAGCACACCACAGCATTTTCTGCATTATTTTGTATTTCTATTGCTTTTTTTTTGCACCGTTAGTTACATATTTATTTTTTCTTCTCTGGCACAGCTCATTAAGTCGCTGAATAAATTAGAGCACATGTAACATCAAGGAGTGTTCCTCAGTCCAGACTCTGAGAGATGCTTTTGTTCAGAGGCATCGACTTTTTATGTTTTTCCACAGCAAAGAAATAATGCTGTATTATTTTCTGTAACAATGGTCTGACTTTTTTTTTTTTTTTTTTTTGCTTTACTTTCCAAACAGAGATCGACTGACACTCATGTTTGCAAACACACTGAAGTATGGAGCTGTTGACAAAATAGTGGCAGCAAACCTGTCTCAGTTGTGTTAGTAAGAAATCCAGCAGATAACAAAAAATGGACAGCACTTTAGTAGTGGGGTCAAGACCGTTGACACAAGTATTAGGAGCATACATCATAGTCATAGGTTTGAAAGCAATTTATTTTCTCTATATATACACCTATAATAACAGACTGCGTCTCAGCTCTAAAGCTCCAGTCTGTAACGATTCTGTAATACTGTACCTGTGTTCTTTGTTTAGCTCCTCTCTACAGCAGCTTAGCTATGACAGAAAAAAAGGTT